CCTGATGTCTGCCCTGCCACCATCTCCACGCATCTCCCTTTGGCCAAGGCTACAGGCACTCTCTCTAGGGGGAGGGGGGGCAGGAGAAGGGGAATCACTGCCCTCAGTAATCAGAGAAGGTGAGGATGAGAGACTGACGGGGGAGGGATACAAGGAGGTCTTCCCTGCAACCGGGGTAGGTAAGACTCTGCCGACATGTTCAGGAGGCTGGACATTGTCAGATTAGGGATCACAGCTGGAATTGACCAGAAACACCTTGACCAATTCCCTCATTTAAAGCAGGGGAAACTGAGGCTCATCTAGGTTAAGTGACTGAGGCTAAGCTTCAGATCTCCAAGTAATCATAAGGCAATCGTGTAAAGCATTCTGTAAGCTTTTAAGTGCTACACACAAGTGAATCTGTTACTGCTATAAAACATGGTGTGTAATATTGAATAACTTCTATTTGCATAGTGCTTGAGTCTCTGAAACACTTTGTATACTTCCTGTCATTTGAGTCTTATGGCTGTCACTCTGTGAGGTTGGTAATACAGGTATTTTAATCTCCATTTTACAGACAAGGAAACTGAGGCAGGCAAAGTGACCTGGGCCCTTAGACTCCAAATCCAGAGCTCCTTCCATTTTCCCAAAGCCCCTTCTTCTTCCCCATAAGCTACCTTGTGGACCATGTGGACCTCTCACATATCAGGACTGATCTGGGCGTGCCAAGGCATAGGCCATGGACCTAACTCAGCACCCAGGCTAGGGAGGAGAGAGAGGGGGCATTGGAGCAGCCCCCCTGGACCAGCAATGACAAAGATGGGCTTCAATTCCTGCCACGGATGCCAGTGACACCCTGGCTGTACCTCACCCTCACAAAACCATCTCTTCTTTCCTCCATCAAAGCTCCTTCACCCGTGGCACGCCCACGGCGAGCAACCACTGGTACCCCAAAACACAGAAGGGCAGTGACTTTATTATAACCCTCTCTGTCTGTTGGGGCTGCCACTGAGATGGAATGGGGTTGGGAAGTGTGAAAACACAAGTGTTAATAAATAACCAGATACCACAATTCACCATTCATAGGATCCCAGACCTAGATCATCGTCTAGCCCCCTCACTGTACAGAGGTGCAAACTGAGGCCCAGAGGAGTAAAGTCACAAAGCTAGTAAATAAGAGCTAATATCTGAACCTATCCATTGGGATCTTTGGTGGTACAGTGGATAGACTGCTGGGCCTGGAGTCAAGAAGACCTGAGTTCAAATACAGCTTGATCTGAAATGACCAGGCAGGTCATTTCACATATTTGCCTCAGTTTCCTCAATTGTAAAATGAGGATAATAATAGCACCTACCACCCTGAGTTGTCTGAGGATCTCATGAGTTAATAACTGTAAAGCACTTAGCACAGTACAGTACACTGTAGGTGCTAAATAAATGTTAGAGATCACCACCACCACCACCACCACCACCACCATCGTCATGATTAAATGCCTCCAAGTCAGCATTCTTTTTCCACTTTTCAAATAAAAGTCCCCAAACACTATACTAAGAGTACCCAAGGCCATGGGAAATGGGGATAGAAGACATGAGCTAAACATTCAAAGGCTTAGTGGGCGACCCAGAGAGTTGAGAAAGGAGAATCAATGAAGCTCACTACCTGAGTGACCTTGAGCACTGACTCTCTCTGGTCCTCAGTTTCCTCATCTGTGAAATGAGGGGATTAGATAAGATGGCCTTCGAGGCCCCTTCTAGCTCTAGACATCGTTGATTCTGTGATAAAACAGTAATGCCCCACTCATGCCAGAAACAGAGAACTAAAGCATTGGGCTCAGAGATCAGAGGATAGAAAGTTAGGATGGACGACAGAGAGCATCTCACATCCAGCCTTTCCTTCTGTAAGTGACTGACTTACCCAAGGGCACCTAGCAGAGCTGGGATGCCTTCTGACTCCAAACTCCTAATCCAATCTTCCAGAAAAGAACCTGGATCCGAGAGGGGTCTTATTTGAGGGCAGCCATATTGTGCATCTGTGTCGGGGATGGGCCTTCCCCCAGGGCTAGGGTTCCAACTAGACTCTAACTTTGCCTGGAAGAACTCAGTTAGTTTGTCTTCATTGGGCTCTCTGGGGTCTGATACAGCCACCGATGAGGAGCCCTGGCACTTCTACCCCTGTCCTGGCCACCTCTCTTCTACTCAGAGTAGGATGTTAAACACAACCGATGAGAGCTCTTTCTAGGCATCTGTCTGTACCAATGCCAGTGTCCAAGTCTTTGAAAAGACTGTCCCTTGTGCCTGGAATGCACTCTCTCCTTACCTCAAGGCATCTTTAATTTCCTTAACTTCCTTCAAACTTCCTTCCACTAACATGTCATACTACTTTCTCTATAGGATCCTTCCTATGGAGAAAAGGAAATTCCTCCAGTTGCTAGCAATTCCTTTCTGAAATTAATTTGTAAATATTTATATGATTTCCTTATAGAATATAAGTTCCTTGAAGGCAAGGCCTGTTTCAGGGTTTTGGGTTGTTGTTGGGTTTTTTTTTTGGTCCTTATATTTCCAGCAGCTAGATCACATAGCAGGTGATTAATTAATGCTTGGTGATTATCTCACTTGAACCTAACAGCCCAGCCAGTAGGGACTACAGGCATTAACAGCACGACTTAATAGAGAAGGAATTGAGGTTCCAAGAGATTGCCGTGACCAGGGTTAGAGGTAGTTAGTGCCGGAGCCAGAATTGAAAGCTTTTTCCAGACTCTAAACCCGGGCCTCTATTAACTATGCCAGGCTACCTCTCCAGAAGAGATGAGCAGGGCAGAAGAGGGGCCCTGAGGGCATAGTTCCATGCCAACCTGGGGATATCTCATTCAACAAAGAGACTAACACTCTGACACTAACAGGGTCACCAGAGGGCCACAGAGCTGGGCAACCACAGAGATACCACCACCAACTTCCTCTATCCCTCGACTGGGCATTCACAAGAAACTAGAAAGCTTGTCCTGATGTCCCTCATCCCTATCTCAAAATGATAATTGGAGCTGACAGAGCAACACTGGAGAGGTGAAGAGGGGGCAAACACCTAGACAAGCCCCCCCACTCAGATCCTTTCTGCCCACCTGGAGAGGGCATATTGGAGCACCAGCTGCCCAAAGAGTTCAAAACATGCCTTCTGGGGTTCTCTGGAAACTTCCCAGAGGGATCTGTAACCCAGAACCTAAGTGGGAATAGGAGGGGGGGCTGGCACAAGGCTGAGGAATCACAGGGGTCTCTGGGGTCATCTAGGCCACTTTCCTTCATTTTACAGATGATGGAACTATGGCCCAGAGAGGTTACCTATGACCATCAAGACTTCCCTAACCCATACTGCAACAGGCTGCTCAGATCGAAAAGGCCCCTTCTGCCTCCTGAACCAACCCTTCCACACCAGAAGGAAACAGCTGCTCTGCTCTCTGTCCACTCATTTCTTCCCTGGGGCCAAAGCAGGTAGAGGTGGGGAGCTCCCACATAGAATGGAACTCCACACCTCTGGGGAGAAGAGGAAACACCAGTTAACATAGTAGCAGAGGCAGCTGACCCTCAGACCCTAGGTTTCCCTGGCATTGAGCTAAAGCTGGAAGGGACCTCAGAAACCATCAAAGGCCAATCCCTTCATTTTCCAGAGAAGGTAAGGGGCTCGTGGACCCACAGAATAAGTGGCTGAGGCAGGATTTGAATCTAGGTGGGATGTGAGTCCAGTATCCTATACAGTAACATACTCCCCCTACTTGCTTGCCCTGGATTTTATCCACAGACTCTGGGCATCCATGTCCTAGGGTCTGTCCTGTGCTCCCTGCCTGATACCACTGGCGCTGGGATTTCCCACTTCCCTGTCAAGTGGTAGTTGGGGAGAAGGATAACCACATCTCAAGACCCAGGCCCCAGGCCTGCCCACCCTCCCCCATCCAGCAGGCTTTGTTTATGGGGTTGAGGAACTGTGTCTCAGGCTTCCATTTGGCCTGACAGAGTAAGTCTGAGAGCCCCTAGGACCTTAAGAGGCCTAGGAATCAGTCACCACCTCCTGAAGAATTAACTGGAATCTAGGGCCTGACCCCAGCCCCTTATACAGCTCTAACCTCCCCAGAAGAACAGCCTTACCAGGCCTGGAGCACGCCAGAATGCCTAAAGACAAGCATCCCTTGGGTAACCCTTGCCTTCCGAGTACCTTTTGTGAAAAATATCCAGGCCAATGGATTGAGAGCTGGGGTATGTGCATCCCTGAACAAGGTGAGGGCAGGAGACACCTGCCCACCCCCTTTGCCCACAGATGCCCTCTGCAGCTACAGCAATCGTGGAACGTGTGAGCAGCAGGTGTAAGACAGAAGGAGGCAGCCGAGACTCCATGACACAAACTAAGAACACACGCTTCCACCCCCCTAAGGAAAAATCCTTCTCGCTTCCCCCACAGCCCTTCTGCCGCCTATGAGCTGGGGGGGGGCTGGCTCCCCCCATCTATACTCCGTCTGGGGGGATTGGGCAAAGGAGAGGTTAGCAAAGCGGCTCACAGGGTCTGGTTTCCCCAGACTGCCGAAGGAAGAAGGCACAGGGAAACGTCCTTCCTGAAGCACGGACCCTGGTGGCCTGAGGGGTGGGGGTGCCGTAGAGGTGGGGGTGCTAAGGGGACAAGATGACCCATGACCGAACTAGGCACGACTAGCCGCCCAGCCACCGCACGCTGCGCCCAGTCTGCGGGCTCCCCCCTCCCCTCGTAGCTCGGGCCCCCGTGCACCCCCTTGCCCCTCCCAAGGACACCTGGCTCTGCAGTGGCTGCCGAGGCCGCAGCCCCCAGCCTCCCGCCCGACCGCTGCGAGGCAGGGATGGAGGAGGGGGGGTTCTACCGACCGGACCTGGAGGGGGGGCGGCGCATCCCGGCCCGGGTCCCGTCCTGCCCCCGGCCTTCGGGGCGCTGCCGTCTCGGCCTCCTCCCCCCCGGGCCCAGTGGCCCGTCCTCGGTCCCCGGTGCCCGCCCCCGGCCCGGGCCTTACCCGGGGCGCTGCAGTCCGCACACACCTCGGCCCGCGGCCCCTTCCGGGACATCCTCAGCGGCGAGGCGGCCGCAGCCCTCTGGGCCAGCGTGGGGGGCGCGCGGGGCTGCTGGGGGGCCCGGGCGGGGGCGTCGGCTGCAGGCAGGGGCTTCCCGATGCCGCCGCCGAGGCTGAGGCTGCTGCCGCCCGGGCTCTTGCGGCGCCCGCAGCCACGGCCACTGCTGCTGCTGAGGCTGCGGCGGCCGCGGCGGTGGCGGCGGCAGCGGCCGCTCCCCGCCGCGAGTCCGCCCCCTCGGGGCCCCGGCCGGCGGCGCTCAGATCGCCCCCCGACCCGTCCTCTCCGGCCGCCCCTCGGTCCACTTCGCGGGTTGGCCCGCCCGGCTCGGCTCGCCTCGGCCCGGCCCGGCCCCTGGCTCTCTGGCTCTCCGCAGGCTGCTCAGCTCGCTCTCAGCTGCTTCTGCAGGAAGCGACGCAGGCCCGGCCCACCGGGGGAGGGGCCCGCGCGCCTCCCGACCCCCAGCCCGGGCCCGGACACGCCCCGCTCCCAGCTGGAGAAAGGAAATGGGAAGGAACACAGGAAGAGGCTCGAGGTGCTGGGGGTGGGGGGGCTTTAAAGGGCCGGGAGAGCCGGGCTCTTCCCGGCCCCCCCACCGCCCCCCGCCTCCCCAGTCTCAGCCCTGGGAACCTCCCCCTCCCCAGCCTCTTCCCATCCTGGACTGAGCGGAGGAGGACTTTGCCTGGATTCTTGGCCGCCAGCTCGCCTCGGGTCCTGGCCTCTTGCCTCAGTTTCCCTTTCCTGCCCCCAAAGCTAGAACAGGGCGGAGCTGGTGGTGAGCCACTCCTACAGTTCCTCTTCCTGGCGTCCCCATTCCCTTTTCCTACCCCAGCAGCGGGAGGAGGAAGGAGAAGGGGAGCATTGGGGACAGGTGGTGAAAATGGGGGCAAAAATGGGAGGTGAGGGATTAAGGGGGCCCACGGAACTACCTCGCTAAGGTTTATTTGTGTGTGTGTGTGTGTGTGTGTGTGTGTGTGTGTAAATAGGCCAGTTTAGGGGTGACCTAGCGAGCCACCCCATACGAAGGAGAGGATGCCAAAGATTGTTGGGGGAAAGGTAGTCATTCTCTGTGTGGGGGTCACAAGTCCGTGGGTGTCAGGCATTCCTTTAGGGAAGGAGGGATGGGCCAAGATTTCTACAATCCGTGTTCCTCGGATCTGTCTATGTGTAGAACACATCTACTCATGTCCACACTCTGGTGTCTGCGTTCGGGAGAACGTTCTGTATATGTGTGTGGATAGGGGCGCACGTTCCTGCAGTGAGCCACACGCTTGTATGCTTGGGGGGAGGGGGGCACGGGGACTAACGATGCCATCTTGATGGGTAGAGAGCCAGCATCAGTGTGCTCTAGCTCCCCTTCTGACACCTTCTGGCTGTGTGACCCCGAGCCCCTGACAACGCCCTAAAGCTACAAATTTGGGCTTCTTTTCTTCCTGGGGTCCTTTCCAGTTCCATAGATTATCTTAGCTTGCTGCAGGAATTCCAGACCCCCAGATTTCCCAGGGAGTGGGGGGAGGGCAGCTGAACACCCACGTGAAGAATGTAGACGAAGTTTCCTGAAGAAAGGAACTCGCTTGCCCAACTTTGTGTCCCCACCCCCACCCAGCTAGCACGCAGAGACGCTCATTTAACCCGGGAGGTAGGGAGTGAGTATTTTATCCATATTGTGCCTTATTATATACTTTAGCTATGTGACCTTGAACAAATCCTTCTCAGTTTCCTCATCTGTGAAATAAAGGGGGTTAGACTCCATGACCTCTAAGGTCCCTTCCAGCTGTAAAGATATTATCCTAGTAGGTGCTTATCTTTGTATTGAACTGAAGGAAAATGTTGACTTCTAGGGTGCCAGAGAGGTCACCCACTGCCTCTAGGCATGACCACACCTAAACTACAGCTCCCGATGGCTAAGAATCAAGCCCACTTCTAAAGATGTCTGGGGGAGGAGACATGTCTGTATGTGTAAACACACCCGCCTACTCATGTGGGTACTTTCCTGTATTTTGGCGTGTACTCATATATCTGTGTTTCTGGAGGGGAGGAGCAAAGTGTACATGCAGTCCCCTCCTGTTTCGTTTCAAGGCCATGTGTGCGTGTCTGGGGTGTGTAAATGCATATGTACACACCCAGCATATTTCCTTGGGATGGTTTTTCTTTGCAGGTCATGAGCAGAAATTTTACATGAGGGAAGCCTTAGGAAGCTCAGAACCTGTGGCCCCAGGCTGCACATGTGCATTATCATATATGTGTCTTTGTGCCTGCCAGTTTGCACAAAATGCCCTGCCCTCTCCTGCCCGCCCCTCCCCCCTTCTGCTTTTGGCTATGCCTCTGGGGAGGTGGGCTTGAGTTGGGAAAGCTGCTGGGAGCGGAAGGTGTTAGAAGCCATTCCAGTGGTGAAAAGGTTGCAAGTGGATTGTCTAGAGCCTAGACAGAGGGGATTCTCCTTGGCATCAGGAGATTCACTCACATGAGGAGAGGTACCAGAGATGTTCAGCGTATCTGTGGCAGAGGACCGTGGGTGGGCAGACTCGCTCCCTCCCTGAAACAGCAGCAGCCCATGAGTCATGGCGCCCCAAATACAGCGAGACCTGCCTCCTTCGACTTTTATTTCTACCCGGATTGACAAGTTTGTTTGAAAGTGTGTGTGTCCACTGAGGATATTTATAATCACACTTAAGAAACAAAGCAAACTGCCAGCCACCTCCCCCAATGCGGTCCCTCAGTCGTTAGGCGAGAGCCAGGCAGTTTATCACCTGAGTTAGCCTGTGCCTGGCTGGCTCCCACGGCTCCTGGAGGAGCCCCACCTGCCAACGGCTGCCTGTGAGGTGCCGGCCCCTCCCCCCCAGGATGGGCCTTCTCTTCACCGTGGCATTCAAGGCTAAGGATGCTGAGATTGGCTCTCTCTCCCCACCCCCACCCCCACCCCCCTCCTCTGTCGTCTTCCAGCCTCGTGGTGAGTGAATGCATGTGGAATGAAGGCTGGGGGTGGGACTGGAGCTGGAGATTCTGCTCTTCAGCTCTTCTCTCAGCTATGGAATTTCATTTATTAAATGTCTACTCGGCTCTCAGCTGCTTGGTCTGTTTGTCTTTGTTTCTCGGGCTATGTGTGGGTGAGTTTGAGAGCACATGGCAGCCTGGGGCTGGCAGGCATGCAGGAGAACAGACAGGTGCCTGGCATGCCTCCCCCTACTCAATCTAAACCTCTCAGTTGGACTGTGTCTCCTGGGGAGGGCTGGGGGCTGAGGAGGCTATCCCAAGAACCACGATGAATTGACTCCCTAAGCAAACTGGGACTATGGAGGACAGCAGAATCACAGAACCATGGATCTAGAGCTGGAAGCCTTCTCAGACACCATCTAATCCAACTCCATTTTACAGATGAAAAAACTGAGGCTTGGGGAGAGTAGTCATACAGTGTCAGAAACAGGATTTGAACCCTCATCTTCCTGACTCCAAGTCCAACACTCTACCCTACAATCCCACTATGTCCTCTTCCTTCCCCAAACTGTACCTTGTCCTGAAATTTGGGGAAGAGGGTTCATTTAAGTCAATAACCATTCATTCATTCATTCATTCATTCATTTGCTTTTTGGTGAGGCTATGGGGTTAAGTGACTTGCCCAGGGTCACACAGCTAGTTAAGTGTTACGTGTCTGAGGCTGGATTTGAACTCAGGTCCTCCTGACTCCAAGGCCTGAGCTCTAGCCACCGAGACACCGAGCTGCCCCCTCAATAACCATTTATTGAATGTGTACTAGTGGAAGACACTGTGTGAAGCAAAAGACAAAAACAGGTCCTGCCCTCAAGGGACTTACAATCTCTTGGGGGAAAACACAAATACACCCATCACTTACTAAGCACCTACTGTGTACTTAGCTTTGTGCCCAGTGAAGGTATAAAGACAAAAGCAGTCCCTGTCCTTATGGAACATACATTCTACCAGGAAGGAAATAGTATATATACACTGATACAAAATATACAGAGTAAATACAAAGTAATTTGGGGAGAAGGCATGGAGGAGCAGATGATATTTGCAAATCCCCACACTCCATTAGCTGTGGATTTGAAGCAGGTTTCAGTCTTTCATCTGTGTCTCCACCATAAAGTACTTAACAACATCTCTACTCCCAGTCATACTTGCTGGACAGGGGCACCCTTCCCTCTTCCTCCGTTCCCCAGCCCCTTCCCCTAGCTTAGGCTCCAGGTCCAGGTATAACCCTCTGGTGACCCCTTGTGGTAGAGGTAGGGAGCAGCATACCTGGACACCAAAGTCAGCCAACTCTTCTGCCGGGGAATAGGGATGGTGAGGCTGACTGCTCCCTCCCTCCCCCTGGTGGTGTGGCATCCTGGGATGTGCAGGGCTTGCCATGGGGGTGAGGTATGGAACAGCAAGGGAAACATGATGGAAAGGAGGATGAGACTGTCATTTTCTAGCAAGTGTCAAACCATCATTGCTCTGAATGAGATGCTGGAAATGGGGACTGATTTGTTCATCCCATTTCATTCAATTGACAAAATTTAAACTCTTGTTATGTAAAAAGCAGCTTTAGGCACTGGGAGAAGAAACAGGACAGAAACAGGCAAAGTCCCTGCCCTCAAGGAGCTTGCAATCTAAAAGCAGAGAAGGCTAACTAAAGCGCAGTGCCTAGCACCCAGAAGACATTTGATAATTGCTTGCTGATTGGCTGACTAAGACACCTGAGGTGGACCTCCAGCCACCCATCTCTATTAACCTTTTATTCCCAGCCTACCCAAACCCATTTCTTCTCTACACTCCAGTAACCCCAATTTCTCCACCCACCACCCACCCCCAAGAGGCTCAATTGTGACCAAATTCTCATTCCCTCAACCCTCTGTATTTGACTGGCTTTGCCACTTTAGGGAATTCACAACCTCTTTGGACCTCAGTTATCTCATTTGTAAAATGTAGGATTTGAACCTTCTGACCTTTAAATTCCTTTCCAGTACTAAATCAATGATCTGACTTGTCCCTAAACGTCTCGATTACAATGACTTCTATGGTATTCAGTTCAGTGTTCAGGGCAGGGCATACAGAAAAGGGTTGGATTTGTGATTTCATAGGTGATGGGAACTCCCAGGGGAGGAACCTCCCTCCACAAAAGTAAGTTGGCCCTTTCTCTGCTACATGTAGTTTGAGAAAGTTGCATAGCCCTAGAGAATTGATAGGTGAAGTGATTTGCCCTGGGTCACACAGAAAGCACACGTCAAACATTTGAACGCAGGGCTGACTGACTCAATGACTCTCCCAGTAGGCTCAAAACTAATTGACAAAGATTCACGTGCCTTCCACTTCCACTAAGGAGGAATGTGTTGTTTGCCCTCAAAGGCATGGAGCATGCCATCTCATACCAAGAGGTCCTGGAATATTACTCCGATACTGGGGCCTCACTTAGTTTATCCATCCTGGGTAGTCTGCCTGAAAGCTCCATCCCCACTTCTGTGGGCAAGGCTTCAGGAGGGCCTTTCCTCCTGAGGGGAGGAGAGGTTGGCATGGTAGGGATTTCCCCTGCCCACCCCCGCACCCCCTTCACCTGCCAGCCTTTGAGATGAGCTGGGGGGGTTGCGGACTACAACTCCCATGATGCAGCGAGACCTCAGACTCTTGGTTCTGACTGGCTATGCCTCCAGCACCAGGATCCCCCCCCCCATCACTACCACACACGGGGGCTCCCGGGCCCCCAACTGCTTTGGGGAGAGGGGGTGAGGAAGGGGCTGGCATTTGCGCTGGCCATGCCAAGAGGAGGTGTGCTCCTGGGAAAAGCGAGGAGCTGCTCTTTCCTTTGCCCGCTGGGATGCCTCCACTGCCCACCAGGGCCGGGGCCCCGGCTTGCCTCCTCCTTTCTTCTCCTCCTCCACAGGGTGCCTGATCCTTCTCCCCCCTCCTCCCTCCTTGTAGCGCTGCCTTTGTGTGCAGGGGTGTGGGAGGAGAGGCAAAGAACTCGAACAGCGCTGCCTAGTGCTGGTAACCCAGGGCTGGTGCTTCTCCTCCTCCTCCTCCCCCTCCCCTTCTCCTCCTCCTCTTCCACTCCTCCTCCTCATCTTTTCCTCCTCCTTCTCCTCCTCCTCTCCTCCTCCTTTCCTCCTCCTCCTTCTCCTCTCCTCCTCCTTTCCTCCTCCTCCTCCTCCTCTCCTCCTCCCACTCCTCTCCTCCTCCTCCTCCTCTCCTCCTGGGGACGCTGGGAACCCGCTCCCCCGCCCCCCGCATCGCCACCGCCGTGCCCCCCTCCGCCCGCCTCCGCCGGCGCTCGCTCGCCCGCCCGCTTGCCTCCCCAGGCACATGCCCGTGCAGCCGCCCGTCGCCGGGCTTCCAGAGCAGGCTCTGCAGCCGGCCTCGCGCCCCCAGCTCCCAGTTGCTGTCCCCGTCCCCCCATTCCGGGCCGGGAGAGGCGGCCCCGGCATGCGGAGGACAGGATGATCGCCTCCGCCGCCAGGAAGGGGCCGGAGGGCAGATATCCGCTGCACTACCTGGTGTGGCACAACCGTTACCGAGAGCTAGAGAGAGAGGTCCGCGGCGGCCAGGTGGGTGGGGGCCCTGGCGGGGCGGGGGCTCCGGGAGGGCCTGGGGGCTCCGGCCAGGCAGACGGTTCCGGGCAGGGCGAGGGGCACACAGCAGGTGCAGGCGACGAGCAGGGCCGGGGGCTCGTGCCGGGCTTGCGGCTCCAGGCAGGGCGGGGGACACAGAACGGGCGGGGGGGCGCCCAGCAGGTGGAGGCGACGAGCAGGGCTGGAGGCTCTGGGGAGCCCGGGGGCTCGGGCCGGGCGGCTGACTAGGAGGGCGCTGCCGTCGGGGGCGTCGTGGCTGCTCCCCCTCACGTCCCGGGCAGCCACGCACATGGGGCGCGGTGCGGCGCAGCGGCAGCAGAGCCGGGGGAGCTCTGGTGTAGGTCTCTCAGTCCCGACACTTCGCCCCCGGGGAGGTCCCCCTGCGTGGGAGAGGAAGGGCAACACACACACCCCGGCGACTTGTCTTTGTGCGTGGCTGGGGGCTTTTGTGTGTGCTTATTAGGGGGAAGGGGCTGTCTAGGGAGCGGCCCTGGCCATGCTGCTGCGGCTGGAGAGGCAGCCGGTGAAGCCGGCGTATTTACACCGGAAAATACGGCCTTGGCCCCCACGTGGCCCGTGGGAGCTGCCCAAAGGTCCTTGCGCTCCAGGTACCTTCTCGTCCCTTTTACTAGGACCCCTGGTCCTTGCCCGGATTTTCACCCAGGCCCCCGCCCCGATTATTTGCAGGTGTTTGGGCTCTGAACCTCAAGTCATCAGAAGCTGGGGTGATAGGCACATGATACCCCTTTCCCATCACCTCCCACTAGAAGACTAGGTGGGTAACACGGAAGAAGGCAGGACGAGGTTTACATTCACCTCTTCCCCCTCTTGAAGCCTGAGTTCAGTCAGAACGAAGCTAGAGTGGAAGAAACCCCCACAACCTAAGCTGCAACTTAACAAAGGTGGGGGGGGGGACAGAGGCGGCGGCAGCGGCGGCGGCCTGCCATCCCTTTTCCTTCCCAGCCGTCTGGCTCTCCTCCGGTCTTTGTCCCTTCCTTTCGATCAGCTAACCTCTTCCCTCCTGGTCTCTCCCATTGGGGCGTGGAGTGGTGGGGTTCATGCAGAAGGGACCTCCCCGGGGTTTGTTTATTGAGATCCCAGAGAAATATGGGAGAAAGCTGGAACAGCTGCAGCTCAGCCTCCTCACCAAGACACACTGGGGGTTGGAGAGATGCTCTGGGTGTGGACAGGATCAGAGGTCAAGGGAGAGAGACTGGGCGGGGCTCCTTAAAGGTCCCTCTAGAGACCTCCCTCTATTGTGTTCCTTGCTTCTTGAGTTTTGGTGGGAGAGGAACACCGAGGGTCTCCTTAGACCCGAGATCCTTCTACCTTCAGATTAATCTGAGGGGTTTCCCATGGGGGTGGGGTATAGGTGTACGGAGTCCTCCCCACTCCTATTTCTTTCCTCTCCTAAAGATCTTCTTTAGGACCTGGCTTCATTCTAGTGCTGAAGGGAAAGTACAGGTCTGTCTGAGCTCCCACGTTCCTAAAGAGGCTGACAGCTGGGCCAGCAGGGTGAGTGGATGTGGTTTTAGGGGTAGGTATAGGACTAGATGCCTCTGAGACCCCTTCCAGCCCTAGAGGTAACCCCATGAGCTTTCAGAGTCTCTCTACACTTCTCCCTAGCTTTAAAAAAAAAAGGGGGGGCACCATAATATCAGAGAGGGAGAACTCCCTACCTCATTGGCCACAGGGCTGGGGGGAGGGTCAGCTGTAGCCATTCCCCGGCTGGGTATATTAGGGACCCTTCTCATCTGCGGCTACCTCATTCAATGCTCCTTTTTGCAGGTGGGCGTCTCCCCTCCCAGGGTTCTGGGCTTGGACACACTTTTGATCTGTGGCTCCCAGTAGGGAGCTGTGGGGGAGTGGTTGTTGCAACCACCCCTACCTTAGCTGCTTGTCAGTGCAGCTCCTGTGTAGGCCTCTGAATGGGAGATGGGTGGACTTGACTTGGCTGCTCCAAAGTTGGATAGCCTAGTCACCCTATGGCATAATTCACCAAGGGGCTTCTAGAAGCAGGTGTCAGACCATGCCCTTCCTGGGTCAGTTTGGGGGATGAGGTGGAGTCAAGAGTGAGGTCCCTGAGCTTCGGCTCCATTTGGGATCCAGGTTGAGAGGAGAAGCAGTGAGGCCTGCCCTCCCTCCTTGTCTCCTCTGGTAGGAAAAACAAAGCCTTCCCCAGGGAGACTCTAGTTTATGAACAGCAGGACCCTAAGGGCCATGGGTAGGGAGGTTTCTTTAATCCTATAGCTGGGGGGGTTCAGAGATTGGTTGTCTGGGCAACAACAATTCCAGAATTGGGGTGTTACCTAATAGTATCCTGCTGAAGGGAGAAAGGGGAAAGTGATCTTTGCTGCACCTCAAAGCCAAGGGTGGGTTTTGAGGGCAGGCCCCAGCCAGGGCCTGGCTTTATACCAGACCCATCTCCTTAGAGAAGACAAGCTGGAAAATGTAGATTCTATCCTGGTGAAAGGCCTGGAAATCAGACAAGCAGAAGCAGAGACCTGCTTACCTTGGAGGGCAGCAGGCTGGGAGGATGGGTCTCAGGGGGCTTCAGACTGCTTAGTGCCCTGACTACCCCCAATGGCAAGACAAGAGGTTCTACCCCAAGAGTAGGAGCTGCAGTAAGAGGGATGTAAGTCAGACTTAGGGAAGAACTGGACAAAGGCTAGTTGTGGAATAATAGCATTTTTGTACCACTTTAAGATCTGCAAAGCACTTCGTATATTTTTGGTTCTTGCAGCAACCCTGGGAGGTAGGTGCTATTAGTATCCCCATTTTACAGATGAGGAAACTGGAAGTCACCCAGATTAAGTGACTTGTCTGGGATCAGACAAGCAGTCAGTGTCTGAGGTAGGATTTGAATGTATCTTTCTAAAATCTCAAGATGCACCATTCCACAATCTCTTGCATCTGTATTGAGCATGGTCCTGCCCCTGATGGAGATCTAAGGTGGGATTGTCTGAGACCAGTTCTAGAGATGCCTTTCTACCCAAACTCCTCTCTCATCTCTTCTGCCCACATAAACTGTAGCTGACAGTCAGCCACCTTGCCTGAGGTTGTGTGGGGGTGCCAGCAGGGAGCAGGTAAGAACTAATTTAGAGGGAACAGACTGCAAAGGGCCCTTATCCCTAACCCTCTTCCCTTCTTTCAGGACTGCACTCAGAAACAGTCAAGACCTCCCTTTTGCATGCTGGGCTGGTGTTTTCTTGAAATGGACACCAGCTGATGAGCCGATTTCCGAGGCCAGAGAAATATAGGGCAGTGACAGAGGTTACTCTGGGCAGGAGGTTAACCCTCACCGGGCTTCAGAGGAACAGTGGACATGGCAGGACACACAGCCTCCTTCAGGACCAGGGGGTTATGTTGCTGCACAGTCACAGTGGGACCCCTGCCCCTAAGCAAGCAAGTTGGGTCCATCCCTAGGAAGCCAGGAAATTAGCAATGTCTAAGGGATCTGAAGGGTCATAGATACAGAACTGGAAAGGACCTTAGAGGTCATCTGATCCAGGCTACTTATGTTACAGGAAAGGAAACTGAGGCCCAGAACAGTTAAGTTACTTACCTGAAGTCACACAGGTAGTAAGAGATAGGGGCAGGATTGAAACTCAGTTGTTCTAATGTCAAAGAGAGTTTTTTCCCTCTCACCTACCATTCCAAGGGTGTCTCCAGAGTGGAGAGATAACTAGAGAGGATATAGCTTCCTCCAGTATCACTTTCTTGCCCAGGATGGCTTTGGGAGTGGGGATTTCCTGATGGTTCTTAGAGTCCCATTATGAGTTGGTGACTTCTCCATCCTAGGTTCAGAGCCTTTTGTCTCTTGATTCCAGCTTTAACTCTGACCTTGCCCATCAAGGGGCAGAGCCAGGCACCTGCCCTTGCCACTCTGGGCACAGAGCTACAGGGATTTCCCATCCCAATTTGGCATAACAGACACCTCCTGGCTCCAAGAAAATCCCAGTGGAGAGGGACAGCCTGTGGCCAGACCTGGCAGCTCCCTAGGGAAAGGGAAGGCAGGATTTGATGGGCTTTGGAGCAGAGAAAAATGTTCCCTGGGTTCTGAGATGTAGCTCACACGATCCTAGCTCAAGAGCTGAAAGAGATTTCAGAGCCATCTAGTGTAGCCCTCTTATTTTATAGAGGGGGAAACTGAGACTCAGGCAGGTCGTGTGACTAGCCCAAAGTCCCACAGCTACTAAGTGTTGGAGCCAGGATTCAAATACACATCCTCTAACTCCAAATCCAGCCCTGTTCCCTCTCTACCATGCTGTCTTCTAAGTTAGTGGACTCCAGGTATGAATGGGGGTCCAGGGGTGAAGTACTCACAGGAAACCCTCCATAAATGTTTGTTGACCAACTGGATGACTTGGCCATTTCATCCTGGCTGGTACCTACATCAGGATGGATGTTGGGGGGTGAGTGGAGCCACAGCAAGGACTTTACCTGACTCCTGCTAAGCTGTCCATCCCAGGACTGAAGGGCACTGATGGTGCCAGCTTCTCTAGGACTGGCAAAGTCCTGAAATTCCCATCAACCCATAGGGTATCGTCCTGGTTCTTGAAATCCTGAGTCCCTGGCGCTGCTTTGGAAAAAGGAGCGCTGGACAGCTCCAGTGGGTACAGACCGGGAAGGTGGAGGGGGCCCAGTTCTCCTAGGATTCAGTAAGGTCCAGAAGGCCTACCTTGGATGTGCTCTCTCTCTGTCTTTGTCTCTCTCTGTCTCTGTTTCTCTGTGTCTCTTTCTCTGTCTCTCTCTGTCTCTGTGTCTGTCTCTCTCCCTCCCTCCCTCTCCCCATTCTTCTCCACTCCCTCCCCACTCTCTCTTTATTCCTTTTCCCTTTCTCTTCATTCTCTCTCTCTCTGTCTCTCTTCCTTCTTCCTAGCTCTTTCTCTCTCTTCTTTCTCCTATTTCTTTTCTCTCTCCCTTCTTTCCATCTGTTTCTCTTTCTCCTTTTCCTTGTTCTTCCTCCTCCTCTT